ACGTAAATCATCTCAAGTATTGAAAGAATAGAGGATAATTCGTTTGTACGAATTCAAATTCAAATTTCTTTTCAAGGCAGAGGTTTTAGGAAGATTTTAAATTTTGTATGTAATCATCATTGTATATTTTGGTGTTTATGTGTGTGACATTAATATTAATGATGGTGGGACAGTACAAACACAATATAATTTTTTCCCATCGAATGTAGATTGGAAAGTTGCACAGAAAAAAACACTCTTCCACAATAAATTCCGAAAATTTATGTTTGAAGTAATAATATTTGCTAATTTCTATACGGTAAGCAGTCCATTTGTAGCACACTTGAGGCTATTCATAGATTCACACAATAGTGAAAAATGAACGTAAAAGAATCTACTTATTGAGTAACGAATTATCGAGAAAACTGAATAATTACATACAAGTCCAAAAGCCCTATTATGAAACACGTGCCAAATGTGCGAATTTGTAGGGTTCCGTTGATTGAGAGGAGGAGGCCTAAAGTTGGAATGCTCACTTTGAACGAAAAATGGAATTACTAAACCGGAAAAAATAAAATAGTAAAAATTCCTATGTTATATACACGGAGAGAATTATATAGTGAACACTACCATGGCCATTGGAGAGAATGTTATGACACCATAGTAAAAGATTTCCAACTAACCCTACGTAGTAACCCCTACTATGCCCCACGGTAATGCTTGCCATGTCACATGATAATACTTACCCTGTCATATTGTAATGCTTACCAGGTCACATGGCTATGCTTACTATGTTCCATAGTAATGCCTACTATGGTCTATAGTAATGCTTACTATGGCCCACAGTAATGCTTAGTATGTCCCACGGTAAAGGTTACTATGTTACATAGGAATGCCTACCATGTCCATAGAAATGGTTACCATGTGAATGGAAGATGGTTCTATGAACATAGGAAGTATCTCAAAAATACACGGTTGAAATTCGCGATTGCCTCTTGATGCGGTCATAAACTCAAGACGCTTAAGGCTCAAACTCTTTAGCTCGTTAGTAGGCGCGCTATGCAAATATTTTGCTAAAATTTTTTAAATGCCTCAAGTAACTTTTCTACTTAAATCTGGTGGTGATAAAAATCGTCTATTGGTCACCATCGCATAGAAAAAAAATTTTTATTCGGCTCGACGGAAATTTTGCACGTGTTACGGGTAACGGTGTCGTGGCGCTGAACCCCGAATAGCCTCACCAGTGGATATATTTGGCTCCATCCTTACAGGCAGCCAATGAGAGATTCTCTCATCACGCGCCTAATGAGGGGTTGAACAAATTATACAAATTAAACTCTTTATCAAAAATTTTCCGATCAAATTCTACAATAGTTTTGTTCAGAATATATATTTTTATTTAAATAACAATGCTTCAATTATATGGAATGAATACTACATTCATTAGAAATAGATCATCAATTAGAAATAAATAAAAAATTTATTTGATTCAAACAAAGAATTATTACGTCACAAAATTGTATCCCTCCGCTATCTAAATAATGATTCCATTTCTGTCTTTACCTGCATGAAGAAAGCTTTTGTTTACATTTATAAAACTATTTGTTTGATGTGAATAAAAATGCAAGTGGAAATTTAACTTAGGTTTTAATGGACGCTTTATAAGGAGCTCTCTGAATAAATCTATTATTTCAGTCAAAAATTATAATTTCTCTTTTCGTTGGTTCTCACGACAAGAAAATTCTCGTTCCTTAATTAATGATATTTCTGTGTGTAACATTAATGTACCCGTAGTTCATTCCTTGATGAATTTAATTATTGAGAATAATTTCATAATGTGTTATAGGACATTTGATGTAACCTAAGAAGCACTATTATGGAATATGGTGGAGTTTAATGTGTAACATAGTACAGCTTACTATGAATCCGGCGAATAATTACTGTGTTACATAGTAATTATTGCTACGTTTATAGGACCTATTACCATTGAGGAGCTTATATACCATGCCCCATTACGATGTTCCATGGTAGCCATTACCATGTTTCTCATTTAAACCAATATTAAATGATTGTATGGATGATGATATTTCTCGCTCGAAATTAATAGGACAATTTCCTGAAATTTAGAAATTTGTATGGAAATTGGTCACTTTTATTGTCGGTGCAAGTGCTGAAAGCCGTATTTTTTATTTGCACAAAAAATATCATTGGAACATGGTGAGCATTACCATGGAAAATGGTAACCATTACCGTTATAATTCCACGGATTTTTGTCACGAAGGGATTCGACCTATCGATAGATCCTCCTACACTCCAGCTGCTGGATAGTGCTGAGTGATCATCGCGGATGACCTTTCCAGCCTCCCTTCATTTTCCCCTTCGCGCATATCACTCTCTTAAAGACTACTCGACTACTCTCACTCTCGATAAATAAAATTTGGTTAAATAAAAATTTGAGATTTTGAGATTTTATTTGAGTCACATGGGTAAATTAAATGTGAGTTATTTTTCCATTTAACTAAAGTTTCTTTATTTTTACATTTGCCGATTTTCTAGACGATTAAGGGAATTTTAATTCGGTTTTCTTTCTGATTGGATTTCATGTTGCCTCGTTATATTTGCGACCCCTTTCCTAAGACCGAGCGACCGATTTCACCTCGCTCTCCGGATTTTCTCCCGAGCTAGTTAGGCATAATTCCGCAACCTCTCCCTCTGATTTTCCCAATCCCGGTTATATTTTTATTTTTCGCGTTTCGTTTCCTTACGTATATGGTTGCGGTTTTGTTGATTCCACGTCGCCAAAAATCGGCTGGCGCTCAACGACAGCTTCTCGTAAGTGTAGCTGGTATTTTTTTTATCAGGTGTATGACTTAATTCTCTACATTTTTTCGACAATTTTGACATTTATTTGTAAAAAAATGAATTCAGATCTAATCTTGAAAATCATCGCCGTCAATTTACACGAGTTTTTCCCATCTATCGGGCAATTGTCGGATTCCGACTTGGAAAAAAGATGGTGGGTTTGACTGGATGAAGTCATCAATGCTCTGCCGGACTTCTTCAGGAGATTGAAACTGAGTATCCACCAGGTGATATTTTAGCGCCCGAAAAAGGTAATAGTCAGAAGGCGCAAGGTCTGGAGAATACGCTGCATGTGCGAGAATTTCCACTTTTCATCCCCAGTCATAATTTTATGTAAAAAGTCTTTTTGTTTAAATCTGGTCAGTAGACACATGGCAATTTCACAGCGTCGACTTTTGTTTTTTGAGGTAAGATGATGGGGCACCCGACGACCTTCCTTCTGTATTCTCTCAATTCTTTTCAAACGCCTCGAAATAGTTGATTGAGTCACTCCGAGAGTATCCGCAAGCTCCTGTTGTATTTGACAGGGATTTTCATTGAGTAGGTTGTCCAACTCCTCGTCCTGAACTTTTTTTGCTTGCCCAGGACGTTCTTCATCCTGGAGATTAAAATTTTTATCCCGAAATTTTTTAAACCACTTTTTACATGTGCTATAAGATACAGCACTCTCTCCTAAGGCCGAACAAATCATTTCTTGTGGTTCTGGAGCAGTTTTTCTAACTTGGAAGGTGAAAAAAAAGGAGTGCCTCAAGTGCAGCTTGTCGAACGACATTTTCATTTACTATGTTTTGTAACGTGACATTTTTTCGTGGGAGTTAAAAATGCCTATTACCTTCGCCTTTCTTCCCCTGAATCTAATTAACTCAAAATAAAAACCAATAATGGGTGGCAGATAATTTTTACCCGGAATTATCAAACCGGAAGTGCACGAATTTCGAGTCCAAACACTCAGGAAATTCCTAAGTGACAAACCAAAAACGAAGAGAACTAAATTTTTGGGGAAAGGTAATAGTCCTCGGCTCGCTCAGTGTGCTAGGTTATGGAGAAAGGGGTGGATTTTAGGTGGAAACGGGTTATTGGGCGGTGAAAACTACAAAAAAAAGGAGATCAACATTGTCCTTACTTGTTCCACTATTGAAATTTTCGAAAATAAATAATCTACATACTTTTACTTAATTTCCAAAGCAACGAAAATTCTCAATAGCAATCATCGCTCGTCTAACAAAACCAAAGAAAACTAATAAATCTGATTTGACATCGTAATAACAAAATAATATCACTGCAATCGCTTCGATTATAAAGCCAACATGATCTAATTCCTCAGATGTTATCGCAAACACGAGGACAATAGCGACAATACGAAAGTATTCATTAATCCCGAAATGCTCGGGAATTCCGAGAACTAAGGGAGAGGTATGCGAATACCCGCGAGAGTGACAGAGAGAGAAGAAATAAACCCAGCGATATACGTATAACGTACTGCGGAAAATAAAAATTCAATAAAACTGAACTCGTCTGGAGAAGCCCATCATACCGAAATTATTAATTTTGGATGGTTGGGAGCCATTCCAGGTTGATTAACACCCGGAGAGAATTTTTAAACGAGGGACCACTCGAGTGAGGCGAGAGCCGCAGCTTTTAGGCGTGGATCGACGTCAATGGGGGCCGGGGTGGGGGGGAGGGGATGCATTCCTGGGGAATGCTAGAGTCGCTCTATGCGAATTTCCCGTACAGGGAGAGGGAAGACTCTCTGCTACGGGAGCGAGAGAGAAACGAATGTTTAAATAGAAAAATCTCACGATTTTGACCGAGAAAAATGACATAAACATCAATTTTTCCTTAGAGCTTCAAATAACGAATGAAAAAAGACCCGACAATACCGCCGGGGCAGAACTGGATGGAAATTACGATGCCAACCCTTCTAGGGGGGAATAAGTCGATGAAAATCGACCAGAAACCCACAGGTAAAAATCCTGGGACAATCGACGTCTCAAAAAAAATATAACAAAAACCACCAATAAATTACTTAACAGCCGTTTAATCGCATCGAAGGCCACTGCACGTGGCTGAAGGCCAACGTGAGGGAAACCACAAGGAGAGGAAAACCAACGCCATGCTCAATGGCTTGGACAAAACATTGAAAACTAAGAAAAACTCACGTTTCGGCGTTTGCCGGACTTCTTTTTCTTAGCAGGCATCCTGAGGTAATCCAAGAATATAATCCAATCAGATAATCCACAGGATGGGCACTAAATTCACTTAGTTGTCACACGACTAACTAGGTCAATGGTCAACGCGGAACTAAATTCGAGAGTCAGTACCGTGACACAGTAACCGAGTGATTAGTTCAGCCTAATCGAGCAGGACTCTGATTGGCGGAGATGTTTCGCCAGCCGAAACCACCCAGAGTGGGGGAAAATTTTTAATGCCCTAATCTACCAAGTCTCGTACTTAATCGCATTTTAACATCATACGCTAAACTAAATACAATAAGTACAATACAATAAATTCTAAACTAAATGCAATAATCATTACTCAATTTTCTAATTCTTTCCTGAACAGCTGATTGTTCAATCGATTATCCAAGGCTCTTGGCGCCTCCCACGGATTGGTTCTCCGGGATTTCACGGGATTAAAAGAAACTAAAAGCCAAAATTACCATTCGCTTACTCATCAAATTTTTCTAAACTCCAATAACCCTCAAAACAGCCTGGCAATTCGGTGGAAATAAGGGCTATACTTGTTCCACACGACCTTCCACCGAAATTCTAAAACGTACCCACTTAATTCCCGTAAAATCCACTTAATATAGAGCGCTAACATTTCAATTAGACCTAATCGATTTCCCGTGAGATTAACAATAGGGTAAACCCCATAAAAATTACCGGAGGACTGTAAAATTTTTGGCCCTTCTTCGCGATAATTTTATGGGCCCTCAAAAGCAACAATCGAACAGTTCCAATAATTAATCTGAACTCTGCCCGTTTATATAAAAAAAATACAATGGTCCTCTAACTTCATATAATAAATTCACCGCACCAAAGTGGGAAACCCTCAAAAATCCAAAAATCTTCACCAGAGTGAGAAAAACTCATAAATCTAAAAAAATATCCATCGGAGTGGAAAATACAAAAATCTCTCTCTCTCTCACTCGAATTTTTACCGACGATTCACCGGATTATGCCGCGGGAGTTGGTTGTTCATCAGGTCGTAATGGTATTCCTAACGAACATCCCCACATGTTCGTTACAGCTTTTTGAGGTTGTATTAATCGGACCACAATCGGAATTGAGTGGTTTGATAGCTCACAGATGGTCCTTTAAAACGCCCTTTATTGCGGGAAAATTTTTCAATTTAAATAGGTGTTCTAATCAATTTAATCTAGGGGCCTAGAATTAAGTCATACAACTGATAAGTTTTGGTTTCGGAGGATTTGGGGCATGTTGGAGCGGAAGAGGCTGAAGGTGATAAACATCCGGCTGTCTTCGATTGAGATTTTTCAGCGGATGAAGTATTGGTTTCCGTTTGGTTAATTTTGGAAATCGCCGTCACACAATTTCTTCTCTAGATATATTAACTACGTCATTCTTTTATCTTGCTTCTTAAAGATTTCTCCGCAGAGTAAGAAATCCCACAAAAAATTATAGAGCAATCGAGATACGCGGTGGCGTATCGACCAAGAAAAGTTTTGACTCCGGCTGTACAAAACATCAAGTCTGTCGCTGCTGTGTATCTATACATGAAGCAACTACCCCCTCCCTACCTCCGACTCATATCCATTAAATAAAATACAAATGTGACAAGCTACATGAAGAATAATCATAGTTACATTATATTAATTGGCCACAAGCTTCTCATTGATGTAACCATTTTTTCGTTCAAAGGAATATTTAAAAAAATACATGCATAGCAATGGGTTTATATGCACATCCCGGATTTCACATTATCTCCTTTCATTTTTTTCTTACGGTGTTAGTAGCAATGCAATACAACCACATGCAGCAAGGAGAGAGCCCGCGAATTCACAAATTGTTAAACGCCACAGATATTTTTTAATTGAGTTCCGTACATAAATGACTTCTCGAAGAAGCAAATTAAGTCGGAAAATCTTGAATAAATAATTACAAGTCGGTGAAAATGATGACTGCAGAATAGAACTGTTCGTTTTGCTTCGATTATTAATTGGAAATATGATCTATAGAAGATGAGAAAATTTACAGGATATAAAAACGATTCCTTGCTTATTTTGAAAAAAATTGTAAAATCTTCCTAAAAAAGCAAGAACAATTTTTTTTGTAACAAAACTGTAGAAGTAAAAATAAAATAAAAGAAAATGAAGTAAAATAAAAGAAAACTGGAAAAGTAAATTTTTTTAAAAAATACAAAGAAATGAAAAAGAAATCCAGGTCAGCAATGTCGAATGAACGAATATAGTGCACAACCAAATGCTTCGGAGCTTCAACAAAATAAAAAAAAAATATTGATACATCGTTTTCCAAACTTTGTACATTCGGATTTACGGGTCTTCCCCATCATCAAACCACGCGAATAATTACCAGCGAGTATGAGCTTGATTCATCACTAAAGTTCTATACCTTAGATGCTTTATCTGCGTGCCACAGTCTCCGGAAAATTAATATGCTAATACTGGCACACTGCGCGAGGTAGAATATCCCTACCATCCCCCCCATTATTGCCTCCTGCCCTCGGCTGTGGATGTCTCTTATTTCTGTTATTCTCCTTCTTCAACGCTTTACTACTTTCCATGAGGAATTATACGAGGCAATGCGAGCGTTAACAATACACTGAATTCCATAGGTTATATATAATAGAAAACAATTCTCATTAGCATTGAATACTGCTGAGCCCAAATGTTTCAAATTTTATCGACACTTACAATTAGAATATTGCGTTCATTATTTCCGCCCTTATCGAGGCGGATTATTGCTATAACATGACAATTGTTCCAGCTAGAAAAAACATCTCAAAACGAAATACATACAAAATTGTAATGTGAATAAACTGTTAAACTTTATCATCCATTCAATGAGTTATGGTGAAATTAGTATTATATTCACTCATGTCACTCAATGCCACTCTCCTCATCATCCATTCAATGAGTTATGTTGAAATTAGTATTATATTTACTCATGCCACTCAACAATCTTCAATCGAATCTTCATCTATTCAGAAAAAGTTGTCTATGATTCAAAATTTACATAAGCCAGTCATCATGATCATAAGATTGTATTATGAATTTGTTTTCGAAAATATTTTAGATTTCGTTTTAAAATGATTTGGAATCAACGTTCCATTATATACAGGGTGCCCCAGAACCCAACGTCTAAACTTCACCCTGAAGTTGGTGATCAAATTCTGGATCGAAAACTCTTCAGGAACTTTTCGATTCGAAGCACCCTTTTCGACTTATGTAAAGTTGAAGTTGGACGAATCAGGAGCGCGGGATAAACGGACGCCTGATGGTGAGTGGAATGTGAGATAGTTGGTGGTGTCCCTACCACACGGCTCTACTCCCCGTAGGCGGACGAAATAAAAGACTGCGATCTTTGTTCTAGGGGCATGATAGGGGGGGGGGGGGGAGAAAAAGGAAAAAATTATCAATCCCCGCCCAGATTAAGGCATGGGTTGTTTGAGGGGTGACAGCTATAGGAAAAAAAATCCTATAGAGAATTCGAACATTTCCTATAGAATTTTTCTGGTGGGATTTCCTATAGGATTTCCTATAGGATTTTCTATAGGATTTCCTATAGAATTCACTATAGGGTTTTCTATATAATTCACTGAATATCCTGTAGGAAATCCTATAGCATTTTTCCATACGTGGTGTGGCCCCACATTATCCTATATAAGCTCATATGACTGCATATCACTCCATATAATCCCGTATGACCCCCATATATGACTCTTGTATGAGCTGATGCGATCTTTGTGTGACCCCATAACACCATATGACTCATTTAACGCCTATATATGACTCCATATGAACCCATATGGCCTCCATATAACCCCATATGACCCTGTATCATCCCATATCCCTAAAAAAATAAAAACAAATGTTTTTGTGAAAAAACTGCGTCAAGAAAAAGTTTGGGTTGGTTCCTACTGGAAAATAGAATTTTTTAAAAAATACAAAGAAATGAAAAAGAATGGTAAGTCAGCAATGTCGAATGAACGAACATAGTGTACAATAGAATGGCCCACGAAATATATATTTCCCAATTTCACCCTTCTCCTGTCTTAAAACGATAGTTCATGATATGAAGAAGCGATGTGAATTTTTTCTAATTTTTAAAACGCTTCTAACAGGCCTCAACACATTTCAAAATTTAAGAAAATATTTGACCCACTGGCAGTTCATAGCTGAGTAGTTTGGCGAAAAGTCAAATGATTTTATGACGGTCTTCTCAGAGGTCACAAGTGTCCACCCAAGACCGTGTGCTAGCCTTAGGCCATAAATCATAGGTCTACGGTCGTCCGTCCGCCCAACCATGGGGAGTGAGGCATTTGAGAATCTTTTCATTTGTCCAAAAATAATTTAAATGAATTTTAAAATTTTGTTTTCAAATCTAGGAATAATTTTTACAATTCAGACTGACAAATATGCATAAAAAAGGATAATTCAGTAGCGAAGTGGTCAATCGGTTTAAGTCAATTTTTGTCCAGCCCAAGTTTTTTGATAATATCTCAGAATCTAAGCTAGATAGTAGAATTTTGATAAAAACCGTTTTTGTAGAGCAAAACGAGTTCTATAGAAGAGGTTTTTATAAAAATTTCACCATCGTCAATAGGTTTCGAGATATTCTCCAAAAATTCATCTAAGAGCCAAGTCGACTTCAACCGATTGACCACTTCACTAGTGAATTGCAACATATGAATCCAAATAAACGAATTATTTACTTCGAACACACTTTATTCTTAGAATGAATTCTATTGTGAATTTTTCTTACAATTCACAAATCATGACTTGGGGTTCAGTCATTTACCAGCATTGGAAATTGACAAATAATATTGAATAAAGGTCAGTGCAAGGCGAATGACTAATCTCAAACAATTTATGAGGAGTAAAGCCAAGGGCCCTCATCTGTTTGAACGGGAAGGAGACTATGTAGGTATTTCAGTGTTTCTTAGTTTTCCATACCCTCTGTGAATTCCCTTGTCTTCACTAAAGTTCAGTTGAGCAAAAACTTCTGAAGAGAAAGCATCGCAACAAGCTTCTTTCGTGTTTATATCACTGAGAGAGCACGTATACGAAAATGCCGGAG